AGATCACCAGCTATTCCATAGGATCTCAATTTTCCGACCAGTTTCGAGTGTGACACAGAATCAAAAGCTTTTTGGAAATCGAGGTAAATGGTGTCACAGCCTTCTTTGTTCTGACGAAGTGATATCCAGTCGCTGTAAAATTGCATTAAGTTGGTGCAGGTTGATCTACCAGGTAGAAAACCATGTTGAAAATGCGTAATTAGTTTGTTTTCTAAAAGAAAGGATAATATTACTTTGTTTATAATCTTTTCCATTGCTCTACAACTTGAACTCGTGAGTGAAATAGGTCGGTAGTTGCTGGGGTGGTTTGTGGGACCCTTTTTATGAATGGGAGTAACAATAGCAGATTTCCATTTAGTTGGTAGCTGGTTATTTCTAAATGATAGATCAAAAATATGACATAATGGAACTGATAGGTTAGATGCACACATCTTCAGGACAACATTCGGTATACCATCTGTTCCAGCTGAGGTTGAATTTTTTAAGTTACGCAGAGTTGTATAAACTGTATGAGGAGTAAAACAAATATCTTCTAACAAGTTGTTGGTTAGACAAGGTATGGAACAATTGGAGTTGTTATCATGTGTAAATACGGAAGAAAAATATTTGTTGAATGCATTGGCCATTATCAGCGGGTCATAGGTCACGCTATTGTCATCTAACTTTAAACTACTGACATTGGGACGCGATAGCATTTTTTTGTTGACATACTGGTAAAAACTTCTGACATTGCATTTAGAAAGCAGTTTATGTTCATTGACTATTCTGTAACTGTTCGCTAAGCCAGAACATTTTCGTGACATATTCAAATACTGCTCTTTATCATCCGGTGAAGAAGTTCGTTTCCATTTTTTCCAGTAGTGAAGTTTTACTTTATAAGACTGACGAAGTTGATAGGGAACCTGTATTTTGTGTTCTTTGCTTCTCAGAAAAGATCGAGGGATGTAAGTTGCCATAAGATTGTTTATCAAACGCTCAAAAATGTCCCAACATGTGTTGACGTCGAAGCAGTGCTGAAAAATATTGTCCCAGTTGATTAGCCTCAGGCATTCATTCATATTAGTGAAGTCTGCACTGTTGTAATTATAAAAGGAAGTGTCGTTATCATTGTTAGAGAATTTGTCAGTTGAGTTATGTGTGATGCAGTTAACTTGAAAGGTAAGGCAGTTGTGATCACTGGAAGAAAATGGACAGGAAATCTCTAACT